GAAAGTGTTCTACTTTTTAAATTGTATACACAATCAAAGCAATTAAACGTGGAGTTTCATCAATTTTAGTTTAAATAATAACTCAAAATGCACATTTCTCACCTGATAGATTGACATCTGTTAAGGAATCTCTAGTTGTAGTGCCAACTGCTGTTAATAGGTTAATTGATTGATCTGTCAGATGGTTGCAGTAACTAAGGTCCAGTTTGGCTAATGTTGGCATGTGTCTAATAAGAAGACGGAGTGTTGCATCTGTAATGTCCAGTCCAGCCAGACGAAGGTCTACCACATTTCGTAGCTTGCTGCGATTGTCAATTTGACCTTTAAATTATGATAACAAGATACTTATTAATAAAATCATAAGAAATAGAAGAATAAGCAATTTAGCTCCTCTCACTCCATCATTCAACAAGATAATGACCAATCTGCACCAGGCCTGAACTGTTCATCGTAGTCCTAAATACTTAAGTGATCTAGCCTCTGCAACTCTATGGTAGAGAATTTCAGACTTTCACCTGGCCTCTGGAAAAAGAGATTCTTCTGCATCTTGGTTTTAAATGAAAAAATCTTCTCAACATCTACTCTGTCAAGCCTGCTAAGAATCTTTTATGTTCAATCGGTCACCCCTCATTTTCTCTAATCTCTAATAAATAAGGCCTAACCTGTTTACCCACTCTGTATCAATCTATCCAATTAACCACCATCTGATGAGAGAGCAGCCATATGGCCTGATTGGACTATCATGACTTTACACTTGTCAAACTGTTTCAAAAGTTTCAACTCCAACTCCGTAGCAATATCAGCAGAAATTCAATTTGCCTTAACTGCTCGCTGCACTTGCATGCTAACCTTTTGTATTTCACGTACAGGGACTCCCAGAGCACATTTATGGAGTCCCCCTCTATTTAAATAGTAGCCTGCCTCTTGATTCTTCCTGATGAGTGCATGACCTCATACTTTCCTATATTAACTTCCATCTGCCCAGTTTTGACCACTCACTCAATCCATCTACACCATCTTGCAGGTTTTGTATGTCCTCATCACAACACACGCCCACCTACTTTTGTACCATAAGTAAATTTGAAAACATTACACTCTGCCCTCTCCTCCAAATCATTATAATAAATAGTAAATAATTGAGATCATAGGGCTAATCCTTATGGCACTCCAGTTAGATTTTCTAACCTGGAAAAGACCCATCAATCCCAATTGTGCCTTATATGTTAACCAATCCTTAATTCATGTTAACACAGTAACCCCCAATACCATGAGCTTCTCTCTTGTGAAATAACCTTTTATGTGACATCTTATCACTATATCTACCAGTTCCCCATTATCAACTTTGCTTGTTATATCCCCAAAGAACACTTACAAATTTGTCAAACATGATTTCCCTTCACAAAACCCTGCTGACCATCTGACTGCATTAAATTTTTTTTTAAAAAGCTATCTATATCTTCCTTAGTGGACATTATGTTCCCAAAGACACGTTAGGTTAACTGACCTATCGTTTCCTGCTTTCTGTCTCCCTTCTTGAGCAGAGGTGTCATATTAATAGTTTTTCAATTGGCTGTAACCTCAAACAACTCAGTTCTGGAATATTTCAACCAATGCTTTAAAACTCTTGGATGTAGGTCATCAAGTCCTGTGACATGTCTGCCTTTAGTCCTATGGGATTGTCAAACTTGGTCTCTTGTGTTGGAGAGTTACAATATCTGTCCTCCCATTAGAACTCTGCTAATCTATTATCTCTGTGATGTTTATAGTGTCCTCCATCATGAAGACAGATGCAATATATAGATTCTCTGTCCTTTTCCCTGTTATTAATTGCCCAGTTGCGTCCTCCAAGGGTCCCGCATTTACTTTAGATACTCTCTTTATATGTACAAAGAGGTTCTTGCTGTTTGCTTTTTTATTTATTTCTTGCCAGCTTACTTTCATAAGCTAATAAAAAGGCTGAAAATTGATTTTTAGTCATCTGCTGCTGGTTCCTAAATAAAATTCCCAATCCTCTGGCCTACCACTATTTTTCATTGCTTTGTATGTCTTAGATTTTGATTGGATACTCTATTAGACTATCTTTGTTAATCATGGGTCATCCTTCTCGTCACATCCTTTGACCAGAATAAATTTTTGCTGCATGTTGTGAAATTTCTAATATATTGGATTCTCACAGTTGACACAATTGTACTAAACATGCTGATTCCTTATTAAAAAGGAAATACCAGCACAGATTTTTCTATAATTAAAAATACTTTTCATCTGTGTTAGATCGATTAGATTGTACTCCATAATCTGCTATGAGGGTGAGTGAATCAAATTGCCTGTTTCAACATTAATTTATGAAGTCTGTGGTCTTAAAAGAAAATCATGAACTCTGACTGCTAAAAAAAATTACAGCAACAATAGTAAAAGTAAAATGCAAATCCACAGAAAGGGCTTTTTTGCAGTCAAAGAGTTTTATTTTGAGGTCAGCATTGCTATTGAAGAGTTTTCTACTTGCTATTCAAGAAGAATCTAGCATATCAATCAATGCTAGAAAACAGAGCTGTAGGCATTCTGACATAAGAATAGAAGTATATGGATTACAATCTGAAGATCAATTTAATTTTGAACTTCATGTGTTGCGAGCTTTCTATGAATGTCAGAAAACAAGCCTCCAAGCCAAGTCAACTTGAAATGTGGATCTGCCACCAGTCAAAGAATCCACAAAAAGTTTTTAGAGCAACTTTTGAAACAGATGGTCATGTAGTGTAATGCTGCAGTGGATGATCCATCTCAGACTCTTTTTCAGCTCTTCATTGACTGGCTTCTTCAACAATTAGATTCACTCCATGGATATTAAAAAAAAACAGTTGAATAGACTGTTGAATCAGCACCATGGCCCTGACAACTTATCAGCCAAACACTTGTTATGTATGCTCCTGAACTAGTCAAGCTATTCCAACATAGCTACAACATTGTTATCTATCTGATAAATTGGAACATACTCATGTATGTCTCGTCCATAAAAGGCAGGGCAAATCCATTGCAGTCAATTACTGCTGCATCGGCCTATTCTCAAAGTAATGACAACACTATTGCATGACACTTACTCGCCAAAATCTGCTCATCATACTCAGTCTGGGTTTTGCCGAGATTGCTCAACTGGAGGCTTCACCACAGCTTTGGTTCAAACATGGACAAATAAACCGAATTCTAGAGGCAAGGTGAGAATGACCCCCCCTTGATATCAAGACAGCATTTGACTGAATGTGACATCAAGATGCCCTATTAAAATCAACGTCAGTGAGAGATGGAGGGGCAGAGGTGGAGGAGGGCTTATTTAGCGACTGGACTTATACCTAACACAAAAGAAGAGGTTCAATTAATGGGTTTTAATTAACACAAAAAACTGGGTGACTAGATACACCATAGCTTGAAACATGGCAAGTTAAAAGGATTTCCTACCTGGTCTGTTGTCAGTTGGAGGAGAAAGCAAATCTCTCATTTGGGCATCTTTTAATCCTTCCACCCATCTAAGATCCATAGTTCTCAGCAACGGACAACTAGAGCTGCAAAGTGCAGAGATTGCTGCCCAGGAGCAGCCTGAAACAACCAAATCCTTAAGACCTGAAAAGGGGAATACAAACTAAGTTGAACATACCAGCTGCACAGCAGTTTGAACGTAATGTGCTGAAAGGCTATACTCGAGAAATTAATATGAATCTTTTAAAATCTGTAAATGATTAACACTGGAATCACAAAACATGGCAAGAACAATCACAAAAGAAACATCAAAGTCACTGGTTTATTCTCACAAAGGAGCTAAGTGTGCTCATGTATTGGTAGTAACCCAAATAAAATTTTAGAAATAAAATAGGTATGAATTATGGAACTTCATCAAATCAAGAAGTAACGACCCTGATGTTCCGGTCCTGCGAATAGTGGTCAGCAACCTAAAACTTCCACTGCTTCATTCTAATATTGTGTTGTTCATTTTAAAAGATTCTGATATAGTCAGTTAATTCACATCAGCTCATATATGTACAAAAAGAAATGAGGAAAGTTTACTCGTCACCAGTTGGAGGGACTTGCTATCGCTGATCAGCCTCGGACACCACACTGCTTGATTCCTTATTGGGTGACAGCGGTCTCAATTTTGAAACCGTTACCTTTAATCTTTCTGCACCTCCTGTCAGAAATAGCAACTTGGGTGATATTTCCTTTTTCCTCTGCATTAGAGGTCTTTAAGGAAAGTTTGATACACTTGCCTACACCGTTGTTAACAATGCTATCAAAACAAGTGAACATTTTCCTCCATTGATCAAAATAAGTTAAGAAAAAAATGACCAAAGTGTTTGATTTTTGTGATGGATACAAAAGGGCTTTCACTTCCCTGTTGAAGTTAAAAGTGCAGGATTTAAAATCAACATAGAAGCAATCTTTTATGAACCAAAATATGTCTCAGAATCACCCATTCCATGAAGAGCAAATTTTTTTTTTTTTTTTTTTTTAAGAAGAAAAAGTATATCTAACACGTAAAACTTAATTCCATTGTAATACAGGGTGATTCAGGAGTATTTGGGCAATTCATATTGAATGAGACAGAGTTTAGGAGAGGAAAAAAATTCACAATATTCCAGCTAAAGTCAGGATTATGACACATCTTCTTATGAAAATGACAGGACTAAATCTGTCACCTGCCTACCATTCAGGCACTTAGATAATGCTGATCTCTGTTCCTTCTCTCTGATGGAATAGACAAACTCCCAGCACAGGTCTAGGGTGTTTTGCATCTCTGCTTTTGGATCACTTATCCAAATATAACAAGTAGCACCTATTCAGATGAACTTCAATTTATCTTTTCTGTCGCTTTCCACTAAGCAGCCATGGTCTATTGTGATGTTTTGGGAATTCATTATCAAAACCCACAACACAAGGCAACATTGTTACACACAAATACAACCAACACAAAAGTTATTTTTAGGCTTAGCAATTTTATTTTGTGGTTAAAGAAACTAACATTGGCCTCATCCAAACTATGCCATTTATTGTCCAACCCAAACTGGAATAGCAGTACGACAATCTGGAAGTATTTGCCAGTCAACATTGTAGTCTGATTCCTGCTCAGAACAGAACACAAATGATGCTAAGACAATTTAGCACTGCACCCCTTCCTGGGGCAGCACGAGCACTTAAAAATAGATTACACTCAAATATTCTAATTGGCTCAGCAACCACTTTGCAACTTCACAAAAATAAAACAATTTTGGACTTCATTCAACCTCACAACATTGACACAATAGAGCAAAAGACAATATTAACCCCACCAAAGGGTGCATCGTGCACGGGTACAAATCAGACCTGAGGAATACAAATCTGACATGACAAAATGAAGATAATACATGACATCAGACTGCAGATATATAGAGCAAGGAGTAATAGTGCAGGCTATGTCAGAGCACTCAATCCTGTGACAAATCTAGTCTTGGTATTACATAACACAATTTATGAGAGTTTAAGGTTATTTACCATTTTTAAAAAAGTGATCAGCAAATTCAGAAAACAATTTGTACTGCCAATAGGACCTAGCCATAAATATTATTTCTTGATCTTATACCAAGGTTCCAGCACAATAACAAGGTAGAGTGTAAAGTACTTTCACTCCTATGTTCATTCGATAGTCTAATTAATTTCCTTACCTATTCATCTTGAACAAATAAATCTTTTCCTCATCTTGTCTACCTAAAAAGATATTGTCCAAACACATTCCACTTAATAAAAAAAAACTCTGTAACATTTCCATTTCTGTAGAGCTAAAGTCAAGTCTCTTGCAGCATTCTTCTGGCTCAAATTTTATTTTCTCAGTTAAGAGTATATTTGGATAAGGAAAGGGGGGACAAGAACTTTTGCGCAGAGTACAGGTTCCTAAAGGAAATGATTAAAAATCATCAGTAAGAGGAAAAGAAACACAGCCTTTTTTTTGAGCAACACAAAGTGTTCATTGCACATTCCTAATGGTCCTTGAGAAGCTGGTGGTGAGCTGCCTCTTGCACCACTAAAGTCAGTGTGTGAAGGTCCTCCCTATAGTGGAGTTAGGGAATGCAGTGCAGTTTTAGGGAGGGTGTTCCAGGAATTTGACCTGACAGCAAGAGAAAAGTAGTCACATTCAGGATGATCTGCAAGTTTAGTGGGGTCTTGCAGATGGTGGTTTTCTTAAGCACCTGCTACCCTGTCATTCTGTAAATTGAGTTCTCAATGGGAACAAAGGACTGCACCTCCACAAAGACTGTATAGCAGTCAGTGTGGTCATGCACAGGTAAATTAATTAGGATAGATTTTCCCCTCACTCACATCAATTATCTTACTAGCTGCCAGAATAGGGCTGAGGCAGATGTGTCCTACAGGGATCAGTCAGCTTGGTCAGTAGTAGCAATGAACATTGAAGCCTCCGACCTATCTATATCTGGTTCTCTTCAATCAGAGAAGTATGAATACAAAGAATAATAAAAAAAAATACTAAGAATCTTAGGAATCGACTAGCTCAGAAGTTTATAGAAGTGCCATCGTCAAGATCAAGACTTTTGATTCCTTAGGGAGTTAAAGGATATTGAGTGTGGGCTGGAAAATGGAGTTGAGGTGGAAAATCAGCTATGACTGTACTGAATGTGGAGCACACTCAAAGAGCCAAACAGTCTACTCTTGCTCCCATTTTTCATATTCTTAAACAGATCTAAGCTATTGCTACAGAGATAACAAGGTGTAGAGCTGGATGAACACAGCAGGCCAAGCAGCATCAGAGGAGCAGGAAAGCTGACGTTTCGGGTCTGGACCCTTCTTCAGAAATGGGGGAAGGGAAGAGGATTCTGAAATAAACAGAGAGGGAGGGGGAGGCGGATGGAAGATAGATAAAGGAACAGATAGTTGGAGAGGAGACGGACAGGTCAAAGAGGCGGGGATGGAGCCAGTAAAGGTGAGTATAGGTGGGGACTTAGGGTGGGGGTTGGTCAGTCCAGGGAAGACGGACAGGTCAAGGGGGCAGGGATGAGGTTGGTAGGGGGATGGGGATGGGGCTTGAGGTGGGAGGAGTGGATAGGTGGGAGAAAGGATGGACAGGTTAGGGAGACGGGGACGAGCTGGGCTGGTTTTGGGATGTGGTCGGGGGAGGGGAGATTTTGAAGCTAGCGAAGTCCACATTGATACCATTGAGCTGCAGGGTTCCCAAGTGAAATATGAGGTGCTGTTCTTGCAACCTTCGGGTGGCATCGTTGTGGCACTGGAGGAGGCCCAGGATGGACATGTCGTCCTAGGAGTGGGAGGGGGGGATTGAAGTGGTTCGCGACTGGGAGGTGCAGTCATTTGTCACAAACCGAGCGTAGGTGTTCCACAAAGCAGTCTCCAAGCCTCCACTTGGTTTCCCCGATGTAGAGGAGGTCACATTGGGAACTGCAGATACAGTATACCACATTAGCAGATGTGCAGGTGAACATCTGTTTGATGTGGAAGGTTTTCTTGGGGCCTGGGATGGGGGTGAGAGGGGAGGTGTAGGGGCAGGTGTAGCACTTCCTGCAGTTGCAGGGAAAAGTGCCGGGTGTGGTGGGGCTGGAGGGGAGTGTGGAACGGACAAGGGAGTCACGGAGAGAGTGGTCCCTCCGGAAAGCAGATAAGGATGGGGAGGGAAAAATGTCTTTGGTAGTGGGGTCAGATTGCAGATGGCGGAAGTACCGGAGGATGATGCATTGGATCCGGAGGTTGGTGGGGTGGTATGTGAGGACGAGGGGGATTCTGTTTTGGTTGTTATTGCAGGGAGGGGGTGTGAGGGATGAGTTGCGGGAAATGCGAGAGACACGGTCGAGGGCGTTTTCGACCACTGTGGAGGGGTAGTTGCAGTCCTTGAAATACGAGGACATCTGGGATGTTCAGGAGTGGAATGCCTCATCCTGGGAGCAGATGCGGCGGAGGCGAAGGAATTGGGAATAGGGGATGGCATTTTTGCAGGAAGGTGGGTGGGAGTAGGTGTATTCTAGGTAGCTGTGGGAGTCGGTGGGCTTGAAATGGATATCGGTTTCCAGGTGGTTGCCAGAGATGGAAACAGAGAGGTCCAGGAAGGAGAGAGAGGTATCAGAGATGGTCCAGGTGAACTTAAGGTTGGGGTGGAAGGTGTTGGTGAAGTGGATGAACTGTTCCAGCTCCTCGTGGGAGCACGAGGCAGCGTGCTATTGCTACGCTCCTTTCACAGAAATATTGCTTTGAATTAGTTCGAAAATAGTAAAATTTCTTGAACATAAAGTCAAAAACAATTTTATTTGGGAAGCCAACTCTGGCTATGAAAGTTATGAAAGCATCAAAGAAGGATGCAGAAATCACTAACTCATAGAACTTGTAAAGTCCAATCTCAATGCAATACCTTTTTTTAGAAATATTACTTTTTTGGACTTTCACACTGGATATTCTCCACTGTGTCAATGACTAATCACTTCTGTAAGCATATTTCATATCTCCTTTGAAGCAAAGTGCCTTTTCTTGTCCTGAGTCAAGGCAAAACACAGCGAGATCTGAACCTCTGGATTAAACCAGGTCCCAATCAAGTGATCTTCCTAAACTGTGAAGATGGGAGAATTATATTTACAGAGCACAGATCAGGCTGAGAATTACCAGACTAAATTATTGGCCAGAAAACAACAGCAGGAACAAAATTCAATAGAAAATATATTTATAACAGTCAGGATATTTTACTGATTTTTTTTCTCTAATACTAAATACAAAGCAACATACCTGCACTAAAATGTCAACCATATTTGTGTACTTCTGCTGTAGTAAGTCCTCTGATTATACTTGTATCCCTGACAACCTCGGAATGACCAGTGATCGTGATAGTAGGCAGCCAAACCTATCACGATGGAACAGCATTCCACTTCACAAGACTATGCCAAGCAATTTAGATTCTTTTCATAATGCCACTACCCAGTGGTTGTATGCTTCTCCACAGACAGGAAGGAATAACTAAAGAATTGGACCCTGGACAATTCCCATTACTCAGTTTATTCTCTTGGAAACTTCTTTTTGGTGGGGGTAGTATGCAAACAGAGAGCTAAATAATAAATTTGATTATTAATGTTATACAATAATCCCATTTATAAATGGAAAAAATTTCCATTCAATAGTTCTGTTCATTTGAATATTCTTTTCCATAAAATAGAAAACAGCCTAAATCAAAAATGATGCAATAAGCTTATTCTTCAAAATTATGGGTGACATATTCAGGATGCAGTTTTGCCTAAATCCTATGGAAATACTTATTTACACATTCAGTGAAATGTAGCTAAATGTGGATGCATAATCTGACTGGCTCAACATTTCCAACTCATTGTAATGCTTCTGCTGTTAATATATTGGCATTTCACAGACACCCACCTGGCAGTCTGTTGATAAGCCAAGTTAACTGTTTTTTTGATATATTTGTCCAGCTCAGGTCAAGGGTTACAGGTTGCCTCCTAATGATGCCACTGAGCATAAGGGGTGTGATTGATTTACACCGGTTTAAGTCAATCTTGGTCCAAAGCCTCTTGTCACAGCACCTGGGAAGGTAAAATTTAACAATGAAAATAGTTGATTGATAGTACAGAACTTGTAAAGAAAGACACGTTGTTCAAAAGGAACAACAATTCATACTGCACAAGAGAGCTGATTGGTGTTTTCTTCATGGCAACATCTTAACCAAATAACGGTTATTCTCAAGCTTATGCTTAAATTCAAACCAGGCAAGTCAACTCTGATTGGTCAAGATGGTGCCATGGGAATTATCACAACCACTGTCCAATCTATTGTTTAGTTTGAAAAAAAGGCACAATGTCTACAAGTGTTCATTTTATTTACAGAGGACAGACAGTATTCCACAAGTTAAGATATGCATATTTCCAGCAAACATATCCACCTTACTGCAAGCTGACCAATAATCTTGCATCGTTTGTTAGTGCATTCCATAGTACAGTCAGGATTGTTCAGCACGTGCTGTTCAATCATGGAATCAAACCTAGTTAGATGCAATGTTCTGAGCTTTGCAAGCACACCCGCCGCTGAGTAACATTCAGAATCTGCCTGTTGCAAACAGCCATAGGAATGTATACTGGTATGATTCATCAGTCATTCAGAAAGTCAGCCTACATTCTTGACATCAAACCAGTACTGAAATTTGTCTTCCACCTTACTTAGAGTCAAAAAACGTAGCTGGAAAAGCACAGCCGGTTAGACAGCATCCAAGGAGCAGGAAAGTCAATGTTTTGGGCCAAAACCCTTCGTCAGGACCACATCCTCTGACTTGATGGCATCCTATTGACAACAGTGAGAAATGGCTAACTTTAGCTGTTTCTCCAAAAATGACAGACTAGACCCATTCATTTGGGCGATACGTAGTGAGCAATGATGTAATCCATCCATTATCCCACAGAATAGACTTGATGCGCCTATTTGGTAACAAACTTGCGTGATAAGCAAAAGCTTAGGTCCTATTTATGAGATTGCTGATGAGGCCAAACTTGTTGCATATGGAACTATACAGATCCCATCAGATATATTAACCAGTAAAAGTAGGCTTTTGGCAGATAAGAGTACAGAACCCATTAGTAGAATTTTCAATTAGCATGTCAAGGAAATGCAGTTCAGTAGACTCTTATTTGTAAGATGAATTTGAGCATGGGATTCAGCCCATTAAGGTGTACAAGGAAAATAACAAATCAAAGGATTTCACCCTTTTCAATTAAGCAAAGATTTGAAGACAACATTCCCAGAGGCATTCCCTGTGGCAAAACCTCAACTAGAGTCTGCCTGATTTGAATGTAAACTAAAAGTTGGAAATAACTGCTTCATGCAGTCTCCATGGTGACACTTTGACCAGAGTCTACCTGCCAACCAAGCAAGATCCTTTTCTTGTGCAGTATAAATTGTTACTCCCTTTGAGATTTGGCATACTTGTGCCTCTGATCTGATGTGCGCAAGAGATAAACCTTTGACGGCATGTCCCTTTGTACAGTAACAAACTTTTAAACTGAATCATTTCATGTTAATTACAATTCAGTAATGTTGGCTGATCTGGTTACATTATTGGTGATAGCATTAAAAAAAAAACATACAAGTTGCACTAGACTGCAAAAATTAAAATAAAGCTTCTCATAACTATCATCAGCTTTATTTTCTTTTCCTCACAAATATAATGTAAGCTAAGATACATTACAGATGATAGAGAATAACAATATTAAAAAGCAGAGTTAGTACGGTATCATGAAGAGGAAATCACACCTGACTGATTTATTAGATTTTGAGGTACCAAGCAGGGTAGATAAAAGGGAACCAGTACATATAATGACCTGGATGACAGAAGTAAATGTACTATCGTCAAGTTTTCAGATGACAAGGTGGAAAGGCATGCAATCTAGATGATACAAGTGTCCACAGCGTGATATAGACAGCTTAAGTGGGTAATTGGTTGGCAAGTATAATGTATAGTGGGAAAAGGTGTGATAGGGTTAGATTACGCATTTCAGCAGGAAGAATAGAAGCACTAAATATTATCTAAATGGGGAAAGATTTATGCCATAGCTAGAGCAGCAGGATGGTGCGGGATCCTACAGCTGTAGCGGGACGGCTCAGGATCCTACAACTGCTGTGTAAATGCATTCTAAGTCTCAGAGTTCTGATAATATTCAAGTCAAATGCCCTTGCTGTTCACAGCACCTGAGCATACACAGACCACCCACATACCAAAGTATTATCTTAAATAAATATTTCTAATAATTCAAATTTAACAAGGCTCTGCTATCAGTGCACAGCCACGCTAGCAGCACACAGCCCCAGAATTGGCTCTGCAGATTTCGCTAACTTATTACTGTTGTTTCTCACAACCCGTGAGGCTTAATACAGGAAGCAGAACCTCACAAAGTGCATTTTACTATTGCTTGTAAGTTGCTTCATGTGCCTTTACATCTCTCTTTACACTGGAACAATTAGAGCAGCTGAAGTGATTTCTAGTAAATTAATCACTTAGTACAGTAGAGAAGCATACAAAACTGTGAAGTCTCAAGTTCCATCCTCAGCCTATGACAGATTCACCGAGTCAGAAGTCAAATGACACTAGGTTATAGTCCAACAGGTTTATTAAAAATCACAAGCTTTCAGGGTGCTGCTTCTTGATCAGGTGAAGTGCCCACCCCAGTCCAACACCAGCACCTCCACATCATAGATTCAACCAGTGACACCCTCGGCTAGCAAAGCTTTAAAACAAATCACATCTTCTAATATTTTTATTTGTAATCAGGAATACACAGCCTTCTATTTCCCTTGAAGAAAAGAGCTTGAAAGTTTCCAATAATATCACAATAGGATCCACTGTCAAAGCAGCTGCCAGCATTCTGGTTTGTTTCACTGCTGACCAGTGAGCACCTGAAGGAGGTAACAAAAACAGAAATTGCTGGAAAAGCTCAGCAGGTCTGGCAGCACCTGAGGTGGGAAATCAGAGTTAATGTTTCAAGTCGATTTTGGTTTTTACTTGAAGGATATACTCTAGCTGTTGATACATAACGAAAGAGTTCTGTTCCAGAAAATATTAATATACGCAAGGGAGATGGGGTGAATAAAAATTGGAGAATTGACTACCATCATTCCTCCCAGATCAAAATATAACTTCTATATAAAATATTTTTCATGCATTTCATCCCCATAGAAGGACCCTACACTCTCCACATCCATGAAAGGAGGCAAGATCTCCCCTGAGGTTCTGCAAATGTTGCTCTTTAACCAGCTGCTGGGACATGCTTAGGAATGGTGCAAGTAAACTCTGATCCAATATTCTCTGCCTCTCTTATCAAAATACTCATCTTTTCAGGCCATATCATCTCATGCTGGTGCCTCATGTTGAATGGACTCAAAGACAAGTCTAACAACCACTGCAGCATCAACATACAATCCCAGTGCACTATGTGCTACTGTGACAAATCAATTCAGAGCTTTTAAGGCTGCGCTATAAAAAATAATTAAGAAGGTGTTTGTCATATTTTTGTTGGCTAGTCCTATTTGAGGCACAATTCAATAATTTTAAACAGTCATAATTTAAAAATAACAGGTGCACATTTGAGACAGTGAGAAAAATAATTTCTCTCAGGGGTTTGAGGGTCATTGGAATTCCCTTCCTCAAAAGGCAATGGATGCAGAATCTTTAAACATTTTCAAGGCAGAGGTAGATATATTCCTGATTACCAAGGGGCTAAAAGATTATCGTGGGGGGCTATGCAGAAATATAGAGATGAGATTAAAATCATATCAGTTCCAGATTTTATTGAATGGCAGAGTAGGCTTGAAAGCAGCAATTTGTCCGTTAATAATTCTGTCTAAATAAAAAGAAAAAAAGCTAAAATGGGGCAAATAGAAATAAAATATGGCGAAAATACACAGCAATTCCATCCAAAGCTTAAAAAGCAGGCAAATATTTAACGGAAATTGATCTGCATCATCTCTCAGTCTTGTGCAATTCATCAACTGTCAATCAATGGTAATTTTTTTCTAAATTCATTCAGGTGAATTAATAATGCCCTTACTCTTCAGTCACTTCCATTTCTCCCCACTCATAAAAACACATTATTACAGTGAAATAATGTTAGCTGGTGTATAAATATGCCATTATGTTCCCACACTCTGATGAGAGCATCACCTTTACTTGGTGACTCTGTTAACTAGAGATCTGCATTTGTGAAAAAGCCAGACAGTAATATATTATTTGCCTGCCTTCAATCAAAGGTCAATTAATCCAAATTCCAATAAAACAGCAAGCCAGAGTGCTTTGGAGAAAGCTGCAAGTGGCCTACACCAACTATTATTGAATTAGCATTGATGATGCAGACCACTGCAAATCATAAGGGCTTTCGATATTGTAAAATACAGAAAGCATTTCAATGGGTTCACAATATGCAACTTTACAGGTTAACATAAACTTGTAATGCAGAGAAAGATATTTCAAATTTTGCACAAAATGTTTGTTCCCCTCCATTTCAGGATAATGGGAAATAAATATAAACAAATGCTACAGATTCTGCAAATCAAACAACAAAAAAACGCTGGAAAAACTCAGGTCTAGCAGCAAAAGTGGAGAAAGAAACAGTTAATGTTTTGAATCCAATGACTCTTCATCAAAACTTTAAGAACAGAAATAGGAAATAAAACCTTACCATCTGTTCCAGGTTTTACATACTCGCATGCAAATACATAAATCTTTTCGACTGAGGTAGCCAAACACAGCCATCCACACTTCCCGTTGCATCACATGGTCTTCACCATCATCAAGGGGCAGAGAGTCTGGGGGTGGGCTGACAGGCGGAGGCCGCACAACATGTCGCTCCATTTGAATTGATTTAGTTGGTGACACAGAAGGCGGTGGTCTAGTGATGACCCTGGGAGCCCGCCTCAAGCTTGTGGTAAGGTGATGCCTAAGCCTTGGAGTCCCATTTAATCCTTTGCTTAATCTGTGAAGTCTTTCACTACTTGCCAGCAGTCGTTTAGGCTTCTCTACTTTTTCACCTTCTCCTTCAGATTTAATTGGTTGGTGATTCTCATTTGCCAGGCTGGTCTCAGTTTTATGAATCTCCTGATTGAGTTCTTTGCTTAGTTCTTTACTAAGTTCTTTATTGTGCAATCGCTTTTTGCGCTTCTCTTTAAACCTCTCGCTTTTCTTTTCTTTGGCCTCTGCACTTTCAGTACTGGGACCAGCTCTTGGAGAGCTTGACCTAGACTGGTCACTCTCCTTTGTTTTCTGAGGGGTCTCTGGTGGATCATCTTCAGGCTCCTGCTTGATAGCTTGCAATGTTTTGACAATTGCTGGGTGATCTTCACTTGGTTGCAAGGTTTTTTTCTATTGAATAGAAAAATAAAGTGCATGAAACTTTCAAATCAGTACACTTAACATTTCAAGTACTATGCAGAAACATCTAGGACAATAATGTAAAGAAAGACAGGCTTGCATTTCTATTGTTGCTTTCACGCTCAGAACACATCCAATTTTATGGTCAATGAAGCTCTGGGAAATGTACACACTTATTACAACATAGGAAATGTGGCACCTCTGTGTGCAGCAAGCTCCCACAAGCAGCAATAAATAAGTGATCTGCTTTTGTCATGTTGATTGTGGGATAAATAGGGCCAGGCACAATGGAAAGTGCCATAAGATCTTTTATATCGATTTGAGGAGGAAGGCTCGGTTTCAATTTAACAGTTTATTTGAAAGATAGCACCTCCAACAGTACAAGATTTCCTCAGCACTGCTTTTCTTGTGCTCAAGTCTTACAGTGGAACTTGACCTGACAACCTTCTGACTCATTGCATTTCTAATAACCCCTGGCATGAGTTACAATATGATTCTGTTACTTTGAACATCGCAACTAGTAATAGGTCAGCACATTTATAAAAACTATTTCAGTGGACATGTGCTGTGCTGTGCTGACAGGACCATCATTTATTGTTCATCCCTGGTTGGTCTTGAAAATGTGTGGTGAGCTGTCTCCTTGAATGACTGCATTTGATGTATTTGGTGCAGGTATTGCCATGATGCTATTAGGGAGTGGGTGCCAGGATTTTGACCCAGTGACAGGGAAGGAACTATTTGCTAATAGAATTGTGACAGATAATTGAAAACACAGTTGAACTAGAGACATACTTAATCTTTCCCGCCAAGCAACAATCTCAAACTAATGAATTTTTTTTTGTCAATTATCTGTAATCTGCCTCCTCTGGCTCATCATGGAAGCAATCTCTCCCTAGCTAGGCTTTTAGAACTCCTGTGAAACTTCTCCAAGTAAAATTTACCCAGTTTCATTTGTCTTATCACAACCGAAGTCCTTCATTTGGAGTACAGTTTAGTTATCCATCAATTATTTCTTCCCCAAGAAAATTGGTAGCCCTCAAAACTGAGCAATTGATCCACAGTGCAAAACTTGACTCCAAAAACCAGAATGGTCCATGAGCACTATGCCACAGTGACATCTTCTACCATTTATCCCAGTAGCATCTTTCCACTACCTGGTAACCATATGAATTACATTATGATGTTTTCAAAGACTACAGCACCTGAAGATCCAATTCACATCTGCAGATTTTTGTTCTCCCTAGCCTCACATCTTACTGAAAGTAATTGCAAATCTAATATTTGAATATATGAAAAGAATTTTGCGACATTCAAAATCCATCCCCCATGTTAAATTTTGCAGTTCTGTACCCAAACGTACGCTGGTAAACTTCTCCAATTGCAGGGATGCAGCCCGAGTTACCAAAAAGAAATAAAACATGAAATATCTTTACAAACTGTTTTAAAGTCTAAAATAAAAAATGATTGCTAGGAAAAGTGCTTTTATATTAATACCTGAAGACCCAGTGCATGCACATCATGCAAATATGACATGCATTAAGCCTCCTTGTGATTTAAGTTGTACAGTGAATTCAATAGGTGAAACAAGGGCTCCCATTCATTACAATCAGTATCAGCAGCTCTATTCCAAGCTCTGAATGAGCACCGAGCTTTGTCACAGGAGCAAAGTAGCGTATTTTTAAGAAGCTTTGAAATTTGAGAAAACGTTCCACTAATCCACATTTTAAACACTTAACACAAATACCTTTTTCCTCAACAGTTTCTCTTCCTTTCCAATTTTAAACTGCAACAAAAGAAGGCAGATGGAGTCAGTGTCATTGCAGAGGTCATTTTGAGTCTATTATCCAGAGCAACGAAGTCTCTTTGGTAAGAAATATGCACTGAGTTCTTTTTCCAAAATCTGTTTATTTCAGCTCTCAGAAACTCAATCATTTGCTTAAATCGGGTTGAATGTCTTTCAGTTACTCAGCTTCCCTGCCAACATGGTAGACACTTGCTCAGTGACATTTGACATGGATATTCTGCAACGACTACTTAATAATAGGTTTTATAATAGTGATAATTATAGATTTGACTGAATATTCTGTAAAATAGCAATTTAAAGATTGCAGCATAATCATTAAACATACATTTCAGATTCGGCAATTTTTAAATAAGATAGGGAGAACATTTCTCCATAATGACACATATACACTAATTTTTGGTTTTAAATTAGACCTCAAAATAGAGAAGAATTTAGCAAGTTCCTCAACTGATTGGATTTCGTATCACTAAGCAAATGCTCCATATTTCATCCACCCCAGTTGCTATCAAGTAATTAGAAGAGTCATACTCGCAGTAAATTTCAATGTTTAATCTTCAATGTATGTAGAGTTGGCTAGTAGAAAAGTCAGAAAATTATGGATTTTTTTTCAGCATTGCTTCGTTAGGGCAACAAAAACAAAAAAGGGGGCGGCACGGTGGCACAGTGGTTAGCACTGCTGCCTCATAGCACCAGGGACCTGGGTTCGATTCCAGCCTCGGGCAACTGTCTGTGTGGAATTTACACATTCTCCCAGTGTCTGCGTGGGTTTCCTCCCGATGCTCCGGTTTCCTCCCATAGTCCAAAGATGTGCAGGTTAGGTGGATTGGCCATGCTAAATTGCCAGTAGTGTTCAGGGAAGTGTAGATTAGGTGGGTTATAGAGGGATGGGTCTGGGTGGGATGCTCTGAGGTTTGGTGTGGACTTGTTGGGCCGAAGGGCCTGTTTCCACACTATAGGGATTCTACGAAAATCAGAACATCTACTCCCTAGAAGAGCATAGTATGGGTGGTGAGAAGAGTGAGTGAGTACTCAGCTCTGATGCCTCCCCAAAACATTTATTTTCCTCAAATGTATCTTAGAACATGCATTAAATTGAAGCAGAATATGCAACATAACAAATGAACCTTATCGAAGTTTGAACAGTGGAATACTGTACTGCAGCTTCCGGTGGAGGGTTATAGGAAAGGGTAAATTGGGGTCAGAAGCAGGGTTTGATATCAGTCACAGAAGGGACAATGAATCCCATGGTTTATGCCACAAGATGATACGAGACATTTATTTTAATCTGATGAAATGAAGGAAGACTGTATTTCCCTTTTTGACCAATAATCAAGGCCGTAATGCAGACTGTATCTGCACAGGCATGCAATTATTACTGTGTTCTTAGTTATGCTGATGAGCAGGCATAGTTGAGGGGGACAATGAACAGGGGAAGCTAAAATTCATCGCTGGCAATCATAATGAATCAGAAATCAGTCCATTATTCACTGAGAAATTTTGTCACCTTTTTGAAAATGGTAAACATTATTTGATGAAGCTCTGAATTTTTCTTATAACGTAAACCCTAATTTTTTAAAATCAGATAAAATGTTAAATCTATGCTCAGGCCTGAGGATTATTTAGTAATGGCACATTCAATAAAAATGCCTTCTAAATGAATCTGCACTATCAATTGTATAGTTTTTATTTGCTGCACCTTTTTTCTGGCAATTGGCTCAGAAGTTCGATCAGCAATTCTCCGCTTTCGCATCACAAGCCCATCCTCAGATTTCCTTCTTGGAACAGATTCTTCAGATCTTTTCTTGGGATGTTCCTCTGACTTGCGTTTGGAATTTTCCTCTCGGTCTCCCTTTTTCTTTGCTGTCTCTGCAGAATCTTTGTGTTCCCTGTTCTGCCTTTGCTCCTTCAATAGTGAACCTGGGAGGTTGGAGGCATACTTAAACCCTGGCCCTCTTTTCTGCTTATAGACCAGAAGAAGAAAAAACACAGATACAACTTTATATCTCATGTCTTATGGTGTTATTATAATATTTATGCTTAATACCCTTGCTCTGCCTACATGCTAACCATACTTCATACAAGTAGAAATTAATATCAGATATAATAGTTTAAAAATATTTTTAATGTTATATATCTTGAATATCTGCATATACATATAAATGCAGATTCATCATATATTGTATACATTTCAAAAGTGGATATAGATCTGAAGGAGAAGGTAAACAGCCAGAAGTTGTAACTGATGTCGGAAACAATGACATAGGACGAAAAAATTTGAGGTCCTGAAGCCTGAGAAAATACTTAACAGCAGGACATCTGGATCATGCCCAGTGTCACATGCTAGATGGTAAAGGAGCAGTAAGAGAAGGTAGGTTTATGTACAGCTAGAAAAATGGAGTCGGGGTGGGATTCAAGTTCTAAGACTTTGGAACTAGTTTTGGGGAAGGAGGGATCAATACATGATTGACAAGGTGCAACAAAGTCTGCGGAAGGAGACATCAGTACAAAATGGATGTGTTGTAACAATGTTACAGTATGGTAAGGGAGGGTTTAACTGGTGCCTGTCACTAGATAACATGAAGAGTGAAGAATCAGAGAGGTGAGTTCTTTTTATGCTGCAAATTACTGTGATCTGAAATGTCCCATCTTAAAAGGCAGTGAAAAAAGATTCACTAACATCTTTCAAAGAGGATTTTAAGAAGAAAAAATTTGCAGAGCAATGGGGAAATGCAGGGGAGGGGGCTTCTCTTAGGTGCCTCTTAGATATCTCTTTCTAACTTGTATCAGTCTGTAATTTAACAGTGACAAATTAATTAAAAGAACTTTCAATATTAATCTTGTGTTAAATATCTACCACAAACATACATGCATAACTCAGTGGGCTATGAGAAAGGTTCAAATCCCACGCTGATGACTTCTTGTTCTCAACTGTGTCTATACTAAAACAGGAGGACCAGAAAGAACTGCTTAAGCATGTCACATGGTGGCAGCGTGGGAATGAGGTCACTCATCCCCTCAGCCACAGATGCTGCCTGGCCCAAAAGAGGCTGTACCCAGTAAAACTAAACTTAAAGAACTCTTTTAAAAATTGTTATCTAATCATTCAAATATTGCAAACTGACTAGAATAAATCATTCAGAATACAATGTCACTAGAGCCTTATCAAACCTCACTGGAGTGTATTTCATCGTCAATGAGTACAGTATTTAACTTCATGTACTAACAGACAAAATACTACTGAGTAAATAGCTTTGCTACAATACCCATTTTTGTGATGTTTACGTCATAATTGAAATTCAATTATAACCAATACCAAATTCTGAAATCAAATCATTTAAGTTTTAAAATTCAACAAAAGATGTTCAAAAGAAAAGAAAATAAACAAGGCTAGAGTAGCAAGTAATATAAAAACAGATGTTAAAAGCTTAAATATATAAAAATGAAGAGAGAGGCCAAAGTGATCACAGGCCCATTAGCGAATGAGACTTGGGAAATGGCAGAGGACTTGACTAAATACTTTGCATGAATTTTCACAGTACACACAATAGTGGCATTCCAAAAATATTAACTCAAGGCACAAAAGATTGGAAGGAAATAAATACATTAACAATCACTAAAGAAAAATTACTAGAGAAACTAATGGGCCTAAAGGCTGATACAAAAGGAAGTAGCTACATATATATTGGATGCAATGCTAGTAATCTTCCAGGAATCCTTAGATTCTGGAAAAATTCCAGATGATTGGAAGATTGCCGACTTAACAATCTTACATAAAAAGCGAGTGAAACAAAAATCTGGTAATTATCGGCTAGTAATTATAGTTATCCCAATGGCAAATGCTAAGCTAATGTTAGAGGCTACTGTAAAGGATATGATAGCAGAGGATTTAGAAATGCATAATAAAATCAATTATAAGGTCAGCATGGTTTCATGAAAGGGAAGTTATGGCTTCCAAATTTATTAGAACTCTGAGGAGGTAACAAGCAAGACAGATACATTGAGCCATATAAAGTTATATTAGAACAGATGATCAGACGTTTGATTAAACAGGTAGATTTAAAATGAAGGAGAGGGAGGTTTGGGAGCAGGAATTTCAGAAATTGGATCCTGGGGAGCTAAAGGCACAGCAACCAGTGGTTGATTAAATTCATGATGGGAACAGGTTGTAATTAAATGTGCACAGATATCTCAGAGGGTTGTAGGCTATGAAAGATTATGAGTTGAGATAGAGGGAGACCGTGGAAGCACTTGAAATCAAAGAAGAAAATTTTACAATTGAAGCATTCCTGGACTAGGATGCTAAACGAAGAGAAGCAGTTTGGGAAACTTGATCAGCATGGACAAATTGGACTGAAGAGTCTGTTTCCTTGCTCCATGACAATGTCTTTATAAAAGGGGAACCAGTAGCAGCATGTCTTTGGATATCCAAAAGATGTGTGAAGAGGCACCACACATAAGGTTCCTTAATAACAGCCCATGGTTTTGGGGGTAGTATATTAGCGTAGATAGATAATTGGCTAACTAACTGAAGATAGAGAGTTTGGATTAGGGGTTATTCTCAGAATAGCAACCTGTATCTAGTGGAGTGCCATAAGGATCAGTGCTGGGGCATGCTATTATCTACAGTATATATTGTATTGAATGAGGAGAGTGAATGCAACATCGCCAAGTTTGTGAATGACACAAAATAGGTGGAAAGGCAAATGACCAGAATGGCAATCTACAGGGAGATAAAGAAAGATTAAGAAATTGGGCAAAACTTGGCAGACAGAATACAATGTGAAATGTGAGGTAACATACTTTGGCAGGATGAATAGAGGAGCTGAATGCTATTATTAGATTAAGAAACACTGTAGAAAACTGCAGTAGAGAGGGGTTTGGGAGTCCTGATGCATGAATCACAAAAAGCCAACATCTAAGCTGAGAGCGTAAACAGAAGACAAATGGAATATTGGTCTTCGTTTCAAAGAAAATGGAGTATAAAAACAGGGAAGTACTGCTAGAAATATGCAAGACACTAGTTGCACCACAGCTACAATGCTGTGGAAAGGCTTTAGCCTACTTATCTAAGGAAATCTATACTGGTAATGATGTCTGTCACTAGGTTGAGCCTGGGCATAGAAGGATTTTCTTATGAGGAGAGTTTATGTAGGTTGGGCCCATATTCATGTGGAGGAATTAGTGATAACCTTATTGAAACATAGGGATTTGGCAGGATTGATGCTGAGAGTTCTTTTCCACTTGTAGGGCATCATCTCATAGAAAATGGCTGCCCATTGAAGACAGAGATGAGGAAAGAATTTTTCTCTCAATGTAGTGAATCTGTCGAATTCTTTATCAGACACAGTTGTCGAAGCTCTGTTTTTAGGTATGTGAAGAACTTAGCTGTGTACACATTAGCTGTGTAAACAAATTTGAAACTTTCAGTCTACGAGGATGCCGGAACCAGAGATGATCATGATTTCTGAATGGGGATCCGAGGGCAATAGATTTGTAGGGCAATGGGGATACAGTGGGAAAGTCAGGCTGACTGGGTTACTCTACAGAGAGCTGGCGTGGACTCAATACACCAAATGGTCTCCTCCCAAGCCGCAATGATATATGTAGTTCTACAATCAGGCATCGTTTGCCCTTTCATAACACAAACTTATTCTTTCATTTAGTGGAACAATGAATGTAGGAATATTATCTATTGTACTATCTACAAAAATAAATCAGTACTGAATGATAACTGACGTGTTAATGCATTTCATTGTATTTTTCTATTCTATCAAATTGAAGAGACGTGTACACACACTGTGTGATGCTAATGTGAGCACGTCAAACAAGTCATAATTGTTCCGATTTTAAACATCTACAACTTCTCGATTTTATCTTTACAGCTAATTAACATTGTTAAGAGTGCCCACCATTTCTCATTGGTTCACTCTATATTGTGGATTATTTGCTCAATGGCATGGTAAATTAATAAAGACCAACATGAAAATGACAGAACAGCTGAAATGCATTTACATATATTTCTAATTACAGCAATCAAGGACTTTTACAACGTTGCATGGAAAATAGCATGGATTGAAATTGAAAGGCTGAATCAATTCTTGCCAATCCGATTGCTTTTACAATGGCAGAACCAAGATTAGTATTACATGGCTCTTAGGAAAGGTCACCTTCTGGGTCTTTTGGCATATATCACCATGAATCGTATTTTGTTCCATGAAGCCCAATTCTATATCACAGCAATCCAGATCAGAAAACTATCCTCATTCTTCTACTTGAGAATTGTTATGGTGAGGGGTCAAGGAAATGGTATTATTATTAACACTGTTATTAGGGAACAATGTTTTTAGATTACATCATTAGACAATTAAATAACCCGCGCTGATTTATTAATCACTTTCATATTTTAGACAGTCTTTGAAGTCCAGACTAAAACCTCTTCAAAAGCTTTTCCTCCTCTACTAGCAACAAAGTACACACATTTAATGACTGAGGTTCTTTTGCTCCAAATGAATAGTATCTCACAAAAGTATTTTCTGACCTGAACTCAGGAGGACCATATGCGTATTACATCATACAACAAATAGTGTATTTG